ATTTCAGCAAAGAATAATTCTGGGAGATTCAGAAAATTGAAAGATGTTAAAACCAAGAACTGGGCTTTTCACAGATAAAAAACAATTTGTCTATAAATCTATAGAAGAAAAAAAAAAAAAAGAAAACCAACCAAAAACCAAAACCCCACCACTGTACAAAATTGTATTTAATTCTGGGAAAAAAAAAAAGTTCTTACGGTATTTTTTATGACTGTTCAGTCATGATTTGTCATGTCACACATTTTTGTGCTATCTGTAATGTTACTGACAGTGAGTTTATGTTTTACCTCTGTTATGGATTGACACTGGCCAGCATTCTTAACCAGTGTAATTATTTTAGGTAGTACTTTTAAACCCAGAGTTTCTTTTACTAGCTGAAGTAACTTTGAAATGTTCAATTCTAATAGATCTACTATCAAAAGAGTTTATATCAGATTAAGTGAAAGACTAGTTAACTCTGATTAGATAACCTGTCCCTGATTTGAATATTGCATTAACCTCACTGTTCTTCCAATCTCCTACAAGTTCTGCTTACTCTGTTTGGCTTTTGGGCAGAGCACTTGGAAGATGAAAAAGATTTTTTTAAACAAACAAGCAAACAAAAAACAAACAGAAAAAATTTCTCCCCAACTTCTCCTATTCAAAATCCTCAGAATGCTGAGTAAGAAAACCATCCTCAGTGATTAATGTGACATGGTCTAGTGTGAGATGTCCCTGCCCAAGCAGGTTGGAACTAGATGACTTTAAGGTCCTTTCCAACCCAAACCATTCTGTGAACCCAGGACAGAAGGGAAGTGGGAGGGTGGGGAATGCTCTTTCCCTACTTATAACCGTAAAACATTTAACTAGAACAGCAGAAAGGATTTGCTGGTATAGCTCTACTGAAAACGGGACATAACCAGTCAACCATTTTCACAGGTAAGTTAGGATTTACAAAATCTATGAAGAAGCTATGAATACAGTCTCAGTTCCTAAACAGCAGTCACAACTGACATAACACAAAAATATAGAATCACAGAATTATTTTGGCTTGAAAAGACCTGTAAGATCATCAAGTCCAACTGCTAACTTAATACTGCGAAGTCCACCACTAAACTATGAGCCTAAGTGTCACATCCACACCTCTCTTAAATTACCTCCAGGGATGGAGACTCAACGACCTCACTGGGCAGCATGTTCCAGTGCTTGACAACCCTTTTGGTTTGTCTTAATATCCAGTCTAAAACTTCTCTTGTCCTATCACTTGCTACTTGGATGAAGAGGCTGACACCCACTTTGCTACAACCTTCTCTCTGGCAGTTGTAGAGAGTGATAAGGTCTCCCCTCAGCTGCCTTTTCTCCAGCTCCCAAAACTAAATGCAGAATTTGAGGTGTGGCCTCACCAGTACCCAGTACAGGGGGATAATCACTGCCCTGGTCCTGCTGGCCACACTACTGCTGATACAGGCCAGGATGCTATTAGCCTTCTTGGCTGCCTGGGCACAAGCTGGCTCATGTTCAGCTCTATCAATCAGCACTCCAGGTCTTTTTCCAAGAGCAGCCCTATAGACTTGTGTGTCTAAGTGGTGTAGCAGGTTGCTGACCACTTCCCCTTGGATTATGGGGGCTTCATTCTGCTCCCCCTGTCTCTGTCTTCCACCTCAAGAGGCTTGAGAACAATTGGTCTTAGTAATTGAAGACCGAGGCAAAAAAGGCATTAAGTATCTTAGCCTTTTCCTAATCCTTTGTCACTATGCCATCCTTTTCCCCAATATCCTTAGCCCATCTTTTGTTGCTGATGTATTTATAGAAACATTTTTTATTGTCTTTTACTGCAGTAGCCAGATTAAGTTCCAGTTGGGCTTTAGCCCTTCTGATTTTCTCCCTGCATGGGCTTGTAACATTCTTGTAGTCCTCCTGAGCTTCTTGCCCCTTCTTCCAAAGGTCATAAACTCTCCTGTTTCTCCTAAGTTCCAGCCAAAGCTCTCTGTTCAGCCAGATCAGTGGTCTTTGCCGCCGGCTCATCTTTGAGCGCATGGGCATGACCTGCTCTTGCACCTCCAAGATTTCATTCTTGAAGAATGTCCATCCTTCCTGGACTCCTCTGATGCTAGGGGCTTCCTCCCAAAGGACTCTGTCAACCAGTCTCCTAACCAGGCCGAGGTTTGCCCTTTGGAAGTCCAAGGTAGCAGTTCTGCTGAGCCCTCTCCTTTGCCAAGAGTTGAAAACTCTTATCAGAGAGCTGCCAACCATCACATCACTCACAAGTCCTTCTACGTTTGCAAAATTATAAACCTTTAGCTAAGATTATTTTTCCCTAAACATTATTATCTCAGTTTCTCAGTCCTGCTCAATGGACAGTCAAAACTCACGTCTTGCATCTCACGCTGGAGCAGACAAATCACATGCTCTACAATGAATCAGCATAAGTTGTTCTACAGATATTTATAGTTGTAATACATGAAAAACTGCCAGTGGAACAGCTGTGCTGTTATCTCTAGGGCCAAAATCTTGTTACCAGCTGATTGACAGAGCACTAAAGGAATAAGTAGGTTATGAAAACTTATTGTCTTAGTTTACTTTCATTCTGCAGTCTTTGCAGCAAAAAAAAAAACCAACCACAAACAAAAAACAAAAAAAAACCCATCCACCTTCAGAAGCAGTGTCCCAAAGACCAAATTCAAGGACTGAGCTTTAGTTATCAGGTGAAGAATTAGAAGGATTAGGTAGGAAAATTATCTGAATGTGAAATTGCTTTGGAATGAGAACGCGAGATGACATACATCCTTCTCTACATTATGTACAAGCCAACTTAGTTCAAAAGGAGGTAATAGAGATGGATCATGTTGAGGGAAATATTAGAGGAATGGCAAGAATGACATATATGAGATGTATGTGTATGTATAGTGTATATATATCTCAAAATAATGGGGCAATATATATTGGACTATCAGACACGAAAGTGACACAGAAGTCAGGGACCTTCACCAGCATTTCTGTAGGAAATACTACTATATGATAAGTAAAGACCATGTCACAATGGCTATTCAGAGCTGCACCACCAGATTTAAAGATGAGATTTATTTTGAATATTTGACATTGCAAACATTTATTCTGAATGCCCTTCGACTTGAAAGCTTGACTTGGACTTTTGTCTTCTTTTAATGTTGTTTTTGTTTGCATTTTTGAAATCTGAGGGAGAAAAAACCTTTCCAGATTTCTGGATCTCAGTGATTTATAAGTTTAGACAAAATACTCTGCTACTCTACTTCTATCCAATGTTATCGTTAATATTTTTCTTACAGCAAACACATTTTTACTGAAGACTAGTAATACTCATAACAAACAAAAATAATAGTGTCACAGATATCTTAATCTGAACATAATTTGTTCTTGAGCAAAAGGTGTAAAGATCTCCTTCACAGTATATAATCCTGTGCATTTCTTCTGCTGCCCTCTGTTATTTGAGTACTAAAAGGAACTTGTCTTCTCCCTTCTTTTTTACAAAATTCCACATGTATTTTAAACCTGTATATCTAAGTCAATTTACATCAATAATTTTGAATGGAATGCTGAAACATGCAATATTTTTTGGTAGGCATTGAGAAGAGGCTTAACTAAAGCATTACTGTATTTAGTTCCAGACTCCTCACTATAAGAGAGATATGGAGTATAGGTTCAGAGAAGGGCAATGAAGCTGGTGAAGGGCCTGGAGCACAAATCTGGGGAATGGCTGAGGGAACTTAGTGGGTTTAGTCTGGAGAAAAGTCTCAGGGGGGACCTTATCGCTCTCTACAACTATCTGAAAGGAAGATGGAGTAAGGTGGGGGCTGGTCTCTTCTCCCAGGTAACAAGTGATAGGCCAAGAGGAAACAGCCTTAAGCTGCACCAAGTGAGGCCCTGATTCGAAGAACTCACCAAGAACTCGTCAACAAAGTTTAAGATAGGAGGCAGGTATTCTTTACTGCAGCACTTGGTGACACGGGGGATATCTCCTCCTAACGTGTCTTGTCCCAGCATCAATCAGGCTGCGATTATATTGTTGCTTAATATACATATTCCAGTACAGCTTTCCAGTAAATGTCATACATGTTCATAACATTTCCCAGAACTACTTTACATAGGTTTACGCCTATTTTCGCATGGTGGTCGTTTCTTGATCGTCTTCATCACTTCATTCTTTGGCTGAACTTTAGGCGTGGAATGTCCCCTTGTCAAGCTGCCCACCACTAGTCCAGTTCTGACTGGTCATTGTGAAACATTTATCTAAAATGTTTCCTTCTTGCTAGACCATCTTGCCGACCATCAAGGTCAGCGTTGCTTAGCTACAAAGCAGAACTAAATTTACTTATGTGCAAAGAGTATATTTCATTTTGTACTTCAGTGTCTCAGTTTAGATTGGATATTATGAAAAATTTCTGCACTGAGAGAGTGGTCAGGCATTGGAACAGGCTGCCCAAGGGTAGTGGTGTAACCATTGTCCCAGGAAGTGCTCAAAAACCGTATAGATGAAGCCCTTAGTAACATGGTTTTCCAAAACTAGCTGACTGTATGATTCATTACAGCCCACATCTGCAAGAATTTATACACCCTGGGCACTGGCGGCAAGACACAACACTGCAGTTAGAAGTCAGTGTCCTCAAAGCAGAACACACAGGTACAAAGGTGCAATGCTGGCCCTCGTTCTGTCCCATCACTGATTTAAAAAGGCAGAAAGCAGATACTTGCTGAAGCACGCTGGATGCAAGGCAGCACTGACAGCTAAAAACTGAAGGAACGCTTGTGGTGGTCTCCACACTTATGTTACCTTACCACTGCAAAAGCTCAGCCCATAGATATGATACGCTTATACACTTGTTAACACTCTACTCACCCGTCTTTACACACACAGTGTAGTCCAACAACGCACGGACACCTGGCGAGGCTGCGAGTGGAGGCAATGACAAACGGGAGACGCCGGGGGCCGCGGGCCCCGTAGGCCGCGCCCCACCTGCTCCGTGCCCGCCCACTGGCGGCAGCACCGCCATGCAACCGAGCACCGCCCCTTCACCGCCCCCGGGGGAGGTCAGGGCGGCGGTAGCGGAAGCTTCTTCCTCCCGGCGCCGCGTCCCGGCCCGTCCCGTCTTGGGTCCGCCGCTTGTGGCCCCCGCCGGCAGTATGACAGCGCCAGCCGCCGCGCCCCGCAGGTGACACCCGCGGGCCCTTCCGCCTCGGCCACCTCATATATGGGCCACTTGCTCTCGAAGGAGGCCAGCAGCCTGAGCCGGGACCGCCGCTGCCGCCGCGGGGGAAGCGTGCCGCCGCGCAGCCGGGGCTGCTTCCTGCGCGGACCCTGCATGCTCTGCTTCATCGTGCATAGCGCCAGCCCGCCCGCCTCGGAGCAGCCCCTGCTTGCCGGAGACCCCCGCCTGCCATCGCCGCCCTACGCGGCCCTCGCCACCGCGGAGCAGCGCGCCGCCTGCCGCTTCCTCCGCCTGTCGCCCGCCGCCTGGGAGCCGCGGGGCCGCTTCCAGCACCTCCTTCTCTCGGGCCTGCTCCCTTCGCCGGTGCGGGGCCTCCTGGGGGCGGCCAGACCATCCGGCGAGGCCGCTTCGGAGATGGTGTGCAAGCGCAAGGGGGCCGGGCTGCCCGCCTGCCCGCCCTGCAAGCAGCCGCGCTGCGCGGCCGCCGCCGCGGCGGAACCGGAGGCAGCTTGCCAGTGCCCCGCGGAGGCGCCGCTCTGCTCTCTGCCCGCAGCCGACGGCTGCGCGGCGAGCGGTGAGTCCGCACCGGCCCGGGGCAGCGCCGAGGACAGCGGCGGAGCGGAGCAGCCCGCCTCGCCGCCTTCCGCGTCTGAGGAGGAGGAGGCAACAGGGGAGAAGGAGAGGGGCGGAGAGGCGGGCTGCGAGGAGCCTCTGGAGCGCCCCGCTGACTGCTGCCGGGAGCCGCCGCCGGATATTAACCAGCTGCCGCCTTCCATCCTCCTCAAGGTGGGTAGGGACGTGCGGGCGGGCCGGCTCCCTGTCCGCGGGGGCCCGGGACTGGGCCTGCAGCGGTGAGGTCGCAGGGTGGCTGTGCCCCGGGGAGGGCCCGGTGTTCTGTGAGAGCTGGGGTCAGTGGAGTGTCCCGCCGCCGTTCCGACCTTGCTCGCTTGGGGTGTGGGGATCGGTAGGGGAGCTGGTGTATGTTCTGGTTTTGTTTAGGTATTCTTTTCCCCTTTGTTTTGGTTTGTCGCGGTAAGCGGCGTTGTGAGTCGTTGACTGGAGGTGGAGACCCACAGAAGTGCAGCAGAAGCTGCCCTGTGAACATCCTGAGTCTTACCTGTTAACTTATTTAAAACGTGTTCGTTGCAGGTAGCTTCTTGTATCGCTGATGGAGTACTTATCGAGGGGACACTGACTGTATTTAGTGCTTTTGTGTAGGTCGTAACTACGTAGGCCGATTCTCAATGTTGCTGTGGGGGGGTGGGGTGGGGTGGGGGAGGTGTTACTGTGTATTTTGTATCAGTTTTGGCTTTACCAGTTTCACAGCCTGTGGCTGTCTTGGATTACATGTTTTCATAACCTCACTTTGTATCTTCCAAGAACATGTTTCCTGTCGTTTTTGCTGTCTCGTTATTCCGTAATGCTGTTCTTTTTTGAGAATGACCTTTCTATTTTTAAGCTACTCTGTTGATGTAGTCAGTATGACTTTCTTCAGCTAAACCTTAGTAGAAAGATGAGTCTGGCTGGAACTGAAGCCTGTGATGTTTTTTCCGTAGTTCGATATGAGTGTGCCTTTATGTTTTGGAGAGGAGTGTTTCAGTGTTACAGAAGTTTACTGTGGGGTCAGATGGCTAAACTTAAAGTAGGGCGTGATAATGGAGGGGTCTGAGACAGGTAACTCTTCCTGTTCTTGGTATACTGCTAGTTGTACAACACCAGTGTAGAAAGTACTTTCTTTACTCTTTTATTGTCAAACAGTAACTTCTCCCTAAAGTTGCTTCTTCAGTACTTAGCTAGACTTATGGATTGAGTTGGTTGTTTTGGTGGTTTTGGGGTTGGTTGGGTTTTTTTTATTGCTTTGCTTTTTTTTTTTTTTTTTTTTGGTTGGTTGGTTGGTTTTTTTTTGTGTGCTTGTTTACTTGGGCTGTTTGGTTTGTTTTTTTTTCCTGCTTCCGTAGCACCCTGGTCAGGTTTCTGACTCGATTAAACAGCTGCTTAAAGGCCTTTGCATGCTGAGTCTTGATACAGATAGACTATTCCAAATACAATCCTTTCTTCAGATGTACAACATTATAATGAGAGGATGTGAACCAAGTATACCTGAAGTCTAAACTTTTCACAGCAGGTGCTGAAGACACAAACCTTAATACAAAGACAAGAGATTTCATCCTCTGAAGTCCTGGGAGCCCGATGCTGTTGTTTTTTTTTTTGTTTTATTTTTCCTTTTCCCTGTTTCCTTCCCTTGATTCATACCTCTGTGACCTCCAGATTGTGCTAGTGCAGGAGTGGCTGTACCCATGTCTGTCAAGAAACATTGTAGGAACTCCTAAGTAATGTCTGGCCACTTGAGAGGTGTCTTGTCATGGGCTGCTCAGATGCTGTTCTGCTGTAAGCAGTTGCGCAGTCTCCCCAAAGTGAAGGATATGGAATTGAATGGAAGGCTTTGTCAGGCTGAACTTGGCCTGCAGATCATCAAAAGGGCCTACTGAGCTGGGAAGTTCGCAGTGCAGTGTGCCAGCTGATCTTGTTCCCCTGGCTGGGGAAGAGGTCTCTGCATCTGTATGGCAGGGGGAGAGGGGAGAGAAATAAAATAATTGCAGTTCTACAGATCAAACAAACTTACAGGTTGTTTTGCTTTTCATTTGGTCATTGAAACATGAACCAAATAAAAAGTGTTACACAGTGGGCACAATTTCATCTTTAATCTTTGTGGGTGAGGGTGGTTAACTTTGACTAAAGGACAATTTAATTCTGTTCCATTTAGAATCTAAGGGAGCTAAGGAATTAGGGTCAGTCAGCTTGACTGTAACCTAGACACACATGAATGGAAAAAATTCAGGGAGCTGTTTGTAAGCATGCAATAAAGAAGATGACAAAAGCTTGTGCTGTGGATCACTAAGTTTTTAAAACTTTGTGCTGTATATCACAAATCTGTACCTGTTGTAATTTCACTGCTATTTATTTCTAGAAAGCAGAAATAAATCCCCTAGTTGTACCTGTTACTTGTTTGCAGTGCTGTTGTTTAATTGAAAAAAGTGAACTCGTGTAAAGTGGTCTACAGACTGGGTGAGCTTAGTAACGATGGGTGAAACACATCAGGTTTCCTTTTGAGCTGTGTTAACAGGAACTGTGTATGAAGGGTATGGAAAGGAAGTTCTCTGCTGTGCTTGGTATTTTTAAAGCCTGTGCTGGTGTACTGCATTATGCTGTGGGCTATGGCATGTCCTTAAAAGAAGGCAGACAAATTGGAGAGGCATCAGAGAGGAGCTAGAGGTCATGGAAATGTGGCTTGTGAGGTAGTCAGAAGATTCTGCTAAAGCTGAATGACATCTCTATTCAGAAAGGAGACAGAGATGCACTTTTTTTTTTTTTTTTTTTTTTAGAGAAAATGGGTGAAAAAATTGACCATGTTCTTGTCCCGTGTCAAATAAAGAGAAAGAAGCTTAATTTGATGTGAGGGAAATTTGGGTGAGATACTTGGAAATTGACAGAGTGTGAGAACATTTAGGTCTTGGCAAAGGTAGCTTCCTGTCTCTCTGAGGCTGTGTGAGGAGTTGGGATTTTTATTTATTCTTTTCTTAACAACGAGGGGAAGTCCTTATCAGGGATACTCGAGGTGTGTTTGAAAATGCTTCAAAACAGAAGGGTCTAGAACAGATGACCTTTTAAATATCTTCTTCCTTGGTTTGCTTTGAATCCTATAAAGTATGGACACATGCTGCCCTGCAGCAGTGAGCCTGTCAGTTTTATCATAGAGCTAATGCTCTGTGAAGGGAGAAGTGTGTATTTAAATTAAGGTTTTCATAAATATTTGAAGCACTAGTGGCTCCTTTTCTTGCATCTTTACTCAATGTTTTTTCTCATTCTTTCCTTACTGTAAGGAGTTTTGCTTTGGTTGCTGTAATAATGTACATGTTTGCTTTTAATAATGTTGATACTAAATGTAGTGTTGCTGTTACTGTCCTAGCACTGCATTTAAGATTAGCTGAGTGATACGAAGTAAGTCTGATAGACCAGAGGCAGACCTTTGGTCTTGTCTTCTGATTTCTGGATGCTGGCATTTATTTTTAATAAACTGATACCTGAGAAGACTGGATGTACATGTTATAGTTGCACTGTGTTTATTTTTTTTTTCCTATCCTAGTCAGGAGGCAGAGACATCAAAATATATTGGATTGGACTTCATCTGCAAGTTCATGGAGTCACTGCAGTAATACTAGCTTTCTCTTCTTTTTTGTGCTGGTGTTCTGATCAGTTTGTCCTGTCTAGAGTTTGTGTTGAGCCTTAATTTTAGCTATAGCATGGAGAAAAATGGAAATGGCTTTGAAACTTTGTGGCTGATGCAGGGAGGTAAATCTTCTTTTATTTGAATTTTTATTTTAATTATATCTTTTCTCTAGCAAGGGACAACACAGCAACACTGTGTTGTGTGGTATGTTTTTGTTGGGTGGTTCCCCCCCCCCCCCCCCTCTCGTGAAGCTCAATTTTGCCCTGTGGTTAATTTCACTGTGCTGTTGCTCAGCTTTTGGAAGTGCAACTGAGGGGTGTAGTTGTGAAGGGGAAATGTGCCAGTAGATTAGCCACAAAAACAAAGATAGTCTGTTGCCGTTAATTCAGTGTTAATGTTCTGAAAGATGTCCTGATACATTTTGTGATTTGTTGCAGAATTACAAAGATGAGTTTTTTGCTTTCCACAGGTGTATGTGTAAAGGTGGCTTTCATGTAAGCATGTAGGTTTTCATATTACAGAATGAGTTATGTGATGGAGGGAGACAAAAGCCTTGGAATGAAATTTCTGCTTTTCCTGAAGGCAGATAGATGCCTTGACACTCAGCCCCTGTGGCTGATAAAACTTTTCCTAATGTTGTGTATGTGTTGCTCAGCTTGCTCTACATCCCTGAAGCTATGTATTGCTGCATGGAGAAAACTAATAGGTTACAAGTTGTGAAGTGCTTGAATGCAAAGCAAATCAAATGTAACTCTTGCTTTCATTTTGTATTCACCTGTTTCTTTTGTTCAGGGTGCCTGACCCATGTTTGATCTTTCACAGATTTTTGATATGTTTTAGTGTCTCTGTTTTTAAATGGTTGTGGAGATGCAGAAGCTGCATAGGTGTCTTTCAGTGAGGACAGTTGCATGACAGGGTGTTAAGACTTCATCAGCCCCTTCAAGTAAAGGTACCTTGAAGGTCCCTTCCAAACTGAACCGTTCTGTGATTTATGTTATGATTCTATGACACTGTCATGGGTTCAGCTTGTAACAGTTATTTTTCTCCGTAGTAGTAGCTGGTGCATTGCTGTGTTTTGGCTTCAGAACAGTGCTGGACAAAACACTGATTGTAGTTGCTCATTAACACCCCCTGATCTAGGACTTTCAGTCTCGTGCTCTGCCAGTGAGGAGGGGCAGTGAGAAGCTGGGAGGGAGCAGAGACAGTACATCTGACCCAGAGTAGCCAAAGGGGTATTCCATACTGCAGCACATCATGTCTAGTGTATAAACTGGGGGTGAAGAGATAGACTCCTCTCCCAGAAGAGATCAGCTGCTGATATAATCAGGTTGTGTATTGGTCAGCAGGTGGTGAGCAATTGTATTGTGCACTGCTGCGGTTTGTTGGTTTTATTCCTTTCCCCTTTTCCCTGTTTAGTGTTCTCTCTCCTTGTTATTTCACTTAATAGTAGTAGTAGTAGCTTTATTACTATACTTTAGTTATTGGACTGTTCTTGTCTCAACCCGTGGGGTTTACATTCTTTCATAGAATCATAGAATAGTTAGGGTTGGAAAGGACCTTAAGATCATCTAGTTCCAACCCCCCTGCCATGGGCAGGGACACCTCCCACTAAACCGTGTCACCCAAGGCTCTGTCCAGCCTGGCCTTGAAAACTGCCAGGGGTGGACCATTCACGACTTCCTTGGGCAGCCCATTCCAGTGCCTCACCACCCTTAGAAGTAAAGATCTTCTTCCTTATATCCAATTTAAACTTCCCCTCCCCATCCCACCTAGAGTGGGGGAAAAAGGGGTAAATGAGCTGTGTGGTTCTGAGTTACCAGCTGGGCTTAAACCATGACAGAAGTGTACATGATTGGGTATGATTTTCAGGAATTAAATGTGGTAACTAGGGGACCTACTGCCCTCAGAAAGTTATCTATCATAAGCAGGAGTTAAATGAACAGGCTTAGGGGTAGGAATGGTTTTAGCTTTCAGCTGTGTTCATAAAACCTTGGGAATTAGAAAACAATTTAAAATTCTGGATAATCAGTATGTATCTAGAGAATGAAATGGGTGGTGAAGATCATCAAAGTGAGTTGTAGCTTTTTATGCATTAGTGTATTATTTTAACCAGCACCTAGGATAATCCCTTAATGTAAGGATGATGTGCCAGCAAACTGGAATATACACAGGCTTTGCTAAATTCTATATAGTGTAATTCAATAACATCTTCTTTTAACAACTGCAAGCTCTGAAGAGAAATTGATGTTTTACGTGGTGTTATTCAGAATCCTTTTGTAGTTGGAACTTGCATAGCTACTGCAGGCAGTAAAATGGGTAAGACTTTTGTCTGTGAACATGGACTGCTTGTGTAACCCCTGTGGCTACTCCTGTCCATGCTGAAACTTGAGTAAGGACTTTGTCAGCAGCTGCTCTCTCCACTGGTGGCTTCACACTGAGGGTTATTTCTACAAGAAGCCAATTTGCAACACCTCTCTGTACACTCCGTACTTTTCTCTGCAGCATGGACTGAAAAATGACCACAAAAGCTTCCAGACATTTCTTCCAGAATAATATTGCCTGGACAGAAATTCTGTATGTGTTAAGTACTTAATCAAACTTGCTTCTTTTTTGTTTCAGCATTGCTACTGCTGTGTCTTGTCCAATAGCAAAGCAGTAGAAGTAGGTCTGTGATTTGTGTGGGCTTTCAGCTTTTGATAGGATGGTAGCTGGGACAAGAATTATTTAAGGGTTTTCATATTCACAGCAGCAGCTGGATTAGCAAGTCTTTCCTGTTTTGCTATGTTCTTGTTTTAAGAACTGCAAGCTCTTGTTTCTCAAAGTGAAGGTGATCTTCCACAAAGAAGCATATTTATTTCCCACTGTAGCAAAGATTATTTAAAGTATTTTATAGTGACAACCTTGGCATCCCTTCTTAGTATTAACTAGAGTCAGTCTGATGTCCATCTAAACTAAATGTGGGTCATATTCTCCTGTTCTCTTCACAGAGTTTAACTGTTGAGAGATTGGTCTTCTGTTTCATACAGAAGTATGGTAGTAGGAACTCAAGTTTCCTCCAGCTTTTACTAACTTAGAATTGATGAGAATCATCAGGATCATCTTTTCGTTTTTTTTTTTAATACTTAGAATTATACTTTTACAGTATGAATGTCAGATGCCAAATTGCCACTTACTTTTTTCCTTGCTTGACTGGGGCTGATAGTGTTTTCATTAGGTCACTAATACTAAATTGCAAGTATTGGTCACTTCCATGCTCTGTGCATGGATTCACTATCAGTCAGAGAACTGCAGGGAGGAAGCAGGCATTGGTTGTTTTGTCCACCTGTGTTCATCTGATCCCTTAATAAAAAATGGCCGTTGACTCTGGTAATGGTCAAGCCAAGGCCTGCAGGAAAACAGGGGTCATGTGCAGCCCTTCAGCACTGCAAGGGATCTTGCATAAGAAATTACGAGTTTTCCATAGCTGGAAAAAGATGGGAGTGATAAACCTTGCAAGCATTTGCAGAAGGTGGTGAATTTGAAATTTGAGTGGTGTTGTGTTGGTTTTCTTTTTTTTTTTCCTTCTGTTTCACTCGCTGTGTTATATTTTGCAGATCTTTTAGGAATTGTCAACCAAATCCCCGTAGCCAAGGGAATCTTACAGGGATATACATACTTAAAACTGCTAAGCTAAGCCACTCCTAGAACAAGGGGTTAGTAATGGTTGTCCCTGTTGACAGTTGATTGTGCAGTCTGTTCTGAAGACCACCCAGTGATGGAAATTCTGTAAGTTTACCAGGTATTATATTCCAATGCCTGATTATCCTCAGGAGTCTTAATAATTTTTGAGTGTCCTACTCACCACAATGAAGATGAAAGTGGTCTCTTTAGTTTGTTTACCCTCTTCGGCATCCCTTTTCCTTGCCTTTTCTTTGAATGTTTTCATGTTCTCTAGAGATCAGTGCGTTCCTATGGACGCTCTCCAATACTTTCAGATTTTCTTGAGCTCGTTGCCCTGAGATTGGCTGTAGTGCTTCTCTTTAGTACTTGATGTCCTTATCAGTTTAGTAGGAGGACTGTTTCATGTTTTTGCAGTCTCTATTTGTGTGTAGGTATCTTAATCCTGTAATGGCCTTTTTTCATAATAGGATGACGTGTAGATTAAAGTTCATTTGTAGTTACAGGGTACTTTTGTATGTAACTCTTGACAGACTTTCTTTTTATATTTATTAATAAGGAACGGCTCTTCAGACGAAGGGCTGAATATAATAAATTTAACTGCAGTTTAGGAGACTGCCATAAAGTTCCAGTTTACTTTTTTTTTTTTTGTTTTTGCAGGCTGCTATGGTGCTCAAAACCTTGGGGTACAAAATGCTAATTCTATGCTTAGTTTCCTTGTATGACACCCGATTTGCTCTGCTGATCTGCTCCACTGTCCCATGCCCTCTTCCCACAAGACTCATGTTTTAGTACCCTTGTGACTCCAATTCAGTTAAGAGTAGGAATGAAAATACCCTTTAAATGACTTGAAAGTAACATTGAGCTAACATTTCTATTTGTAATTGTTCAGATGTGCCATCTCAGAAGCACATTTGAATTTGTGTAAGAAATGAGTGCTTAAGTAGGAAACATTCTGTTGTTGGTTGTGCTAATGTGACTTACTAATATTGTCAGCTGTTGTGGGGTACAGATATTTTTTGTTATTGTCCTTGATTAATCAAGTTCTGGCAAGTTCTAGAATGTTGCAGTGCTTTCTAATACATTTGTTTTACAAGATGGGTTAGTAATAAAATATTTCTGTATCTAAAATATGATTACTTCTGACGATTAATATTTTTTCCCCTTTACAGATATTTTCCAACTTATCCCTGAATGAGCGTTGCCTTTCAGCGTCACTAGTCTGTAGATATTGGCGTGATCTCTGTTTAGATTTTCAGTTTTGGAAGCAACTGGATCTCAGTAGTCGTCAACAGGTATGAAGATATCATATTTTGACTACTCAGAATTTGTTCTCAGAACTTGTACTTTAACCAAAGGTGAGCTAAAGAACCACATAAAATGGTGATGTCTGTACTTTCGCGGATTTTTCTACTAGAGACTGAAAATATCTGGACCTTTAGATTAACCCTTTTAAATGTAGCTTCTTCCAACTGTTCAGTTTTTAAACAGTGTGAGCTCAAGTACTGTTCAAAATGAATTGTAGGTGCCTGTCTTGGGTCAGGTAGTGGTAGTTCCATTCATAAGAGCTATCAGACTTCATTTTAATTGAAGGATGAAATTAATGAGCTTTTCTAAAGATGCCCTAGTTTGAAGAATGGTCACATAACTGGTGCTTGCTCTATTTGTTTTAACAAATTTTCTTTAATTTTTCTTCAACTGATTTGGCTCCTACTGATCACAAAACAGTGTCTTTTTAGGCCTTTACCTGATCCTAGTATTAAATATGTTTGGGGTTCATGGATTTAATTTAGTGAGATCCTTACAGAGCGTAGCCTGAGTTTCCTTCTTAGAAAACTTCTTTTAAGGGTGCCTGTGTTGTTTGGCCACCTAAATTAGCTTTCTTGTTGTTCAGTTACTTGCAGAGATTTATGAGTTTTATGAAAATATAGGGTGCAAGGAAATGAGTACTAGAAGCTCCCATTTAAAGCAGCAGCAACATTAAGTTCTCTGTGTTGGACATAAATAATACCACATGTACGTTCTTCTCAAATCACCGATGCATAAGAAAGCATGCAAGTTCTCTTGCTTTTAAAGTTACTAGATAACATATTTCTGAACCATTATGGAAAAATCATATAGTAGATGGTCTGTTTTTTCTCAAGTGACTCCAAAGCAGACCCACACCAGAGGTCCATCTTTCTGCCCTGCAGGTAGTATGTGCCAAGTTAAGTCTTTTTTTCTCACTATCTTGAGGGGGTAGCCTTATTTCTACTACAAAGGTTTTTCATGGTTTTGCCTGTTAGGTATGTTGGAATCTCAGTAAAACTGAGTTCTTAAACCAGTATTAAGCAAAAATGTTATCCTTCTGTATGTGGTGGTGTGGGTTTGGTGGTTTGGGTTATTTTCATTATTGGTGGTGTTGCTGTATGTTGGGTTTTTGTTTTGGTTTGTTGGTTGTGTGGTTTTTTTTGTTTTTTTTTCTTGTTTGTTTTGGGGGGAGGTGTTTGTTTAGGTGGTGTTCATGGTTTATTTTTTGTGTTTTTCCAATTTGTCGTGTTTTCTATCTAACAGCTGCCTGATGAAATGGGAAGAAAAAAGATTAGACTTACTACTAATGGGAAAGTTTGAATGTAGCAAAGTGTTTGTTTCTCAGCTGTTTAAGAGAAAGACAAAAGGATTTGTGCTACGCTTTTGCCCTCTCCAGGCTTAAGACTAAATCTCATCTATGCTAAGTGGTGGATGTATATTCCTGAATGGTATTGTTAGAAAGACTTTCATCACATGTCATGTCAGGTGACTTAAACTTTTAAAGTGAGGGAGTTCTGTGCATTGTCTTACCTCCTTCGGTTTTGTTTGTTTTAACTTGGGATTTTGAGCATGAAGAATAACTTGGGTTTCTTGCCTGTCTTGTAGGACTGGCTTCTTTTAAAATTATTGACGTATTAACTAAGTACAATGCGTACAGGTACAAAGTGGATAGAACCTTTTTTCTTCAAAGGATCTCTGGGAAAATAGTGCATGTATCTGTTTTAATGGTTTCATAGACTAACACTTAAAATAAGTGTTCTGTTTTAAAACTGAACAAATAACATGAGGAGACTTCTAGGTTTTAATTAGTTTTTTTTCTGCTATGCTGTTCTTTCCTTCTGATCACTTTCATTCACTGCTACCTTTAGGTGACTGTTTTCTGCTGCTAAAAACCCCATTGGTACCTGCATTGCTATGGTATTTATCCAGTGGCAGCTGGTCTTGGATGATCACCAAAGTCTAAATAGAAAAACTGTTGCATTTCAGGGACCTATAAACTCTTTACTTCTTTGTAAATGCTACCTTAGGTATGTAAGTAGAGTGCTGCTATAGAAGGGCAAGCAAGTCCTTTTTTTTCTAAAGCACGGAAAATTGTCTAAAATATGAAGCAGACCATTAACTCAAATAATTGAAGCGGAATTCTTTTAAAGATAACTGTAAAACTGATTATACCAGTATACTCTTATCTTGGGAAAACAAATACTTTCATTCACCCAGTAGCTTACAAAAATGCATCTTATAAATAGTAGGTTTTGTGCCAATGAAGTTAAAGATGCTTATGAAAAAAAGTTAAATTTGAATATTTGGGTTTTCTTTGCAGGTCACTGATGAGCTGTTGGAAAAGATAGCATCAAGAAGCCAGAATATTACTGAAATCAATATTTCTGATTGTCGCAATATATCTGATACAGGAGTATGCATATTAGCGATTAAGTGTCCTGGACTCCTAAGGTATACTGCCTACAGGTGTAAACAGCTTTCTGACACCTCTATTATTGCAGTTGCCTCTCAGTGTCCTCTTCTTCAGAAAGTGCATGTAGGCAATCAAGACAGACTCACTGATGAAGGCCTGAAGCAGGTAACCATCCTTTCCACTGATTTCTTTATAAGTTAGTAACTTCCAGCTTGCCAAGAAGTGACATGGAAGAAGGTACCATCCTCTAGGATGTAATTAAAATCAGATGACCTCTTTGACTTCAAAAATTGGCTTATGGATGTATTTTCTCAGTACAGTAAATGTTATTTTCCAGAGTCTGTGTGTACTTTTTTAAAAATGTCCAAGTGTTGAATGAATGTAATCTTCAGTTTGACATCCTGTAGTTCACCTCTGGCTGATTCATTTTTGCTGAGTTTAGTTGCAACTTGGAATCAGTACTTAAGTAAGTCTTTTTGCATCGTAAAAGCCAAAGGTGGCTGAGATCTTTATTTGTTAGGCATGCAGGATGTTTTCATCAACTCTTTCTTTTATGTTAAGGGAGCATTTAAGGGTAAACTATGAAATAGTTGTGTTAAATATGCTATCAGTGGTCTGGCATACAGGCATTAGGTACTTATATGCTCAATAAATAACTTGGTTCTTAGGTGCTGCTTTTAGATCCATTTTGTTGCCTATAGTTAACAACTTCATTTTGCCATGTATCTAATTACAATATTTTTTGTTTGTGATACTAGTTATAAAACCTGTAAAGAAGGGTAATTTTTAAGGGGTGGCAGAGAAGCAGCAAGCAAGCTGAACTCCCAAATTTCCAGTTCAGTCAAATCCTGGTGGCTTTTTATTTTTTTTGTTTTGTTTTGTATTTGTATTTTTTTGTCTTTTTTTTTTTTCCTTCCCCTTTATTTTGAAATAATTATTTCGATTTCTTTAATTGCAGCTAGGTTCAAAATGCAGAGAATTGAAAGACATTCATTTTGGGCAGTGTTACAAGATCTCAGATGAAGGAATGATCATTATAGCTAAAGGCTGTCTGAAATTGCAAAGAATATACATGCAAGAAAACAAATTAGTAAGTACATGTCCTGACTTTTCTCCTCACAGCGTTTTCATTGTTAGAGCTTTCTCTTGCTTTTCAGTGCCAAAACTTTCTTCTGAAAGCTGCTTTTTGGCAGTGAATTGCTTAAAAATGTTGTCTAGCTGTGAAAATTTAGGCTCTACAGAGAGAGCTCAAAAGATCACTCAAACTAGAAGTTAAACTAATGGTAATCCTCATGCATATTAACTTTCGGGTTCAGCATGATGTTATGTGGGAGTAATTGCTTGGAAGATGACTGGTATGTACAGGAAGATGCTTAGTCCATATGGAATGTTGCTTTTCTTTATACCACTATGTTTTCCTACAGTAAAAAGTGCATATTTACTGAAATGAAAAGGTTTTTGGAGGTTGGGTTCTCGATTACAGATAGTATGCTCTGATAATCTTTTCTTGAAATATGTCACTTTCTTGTCAGGATGCAGTAGAGTAGTGTGCCTGGGCTGGTAGAAGGGAGCAATAAAACTGTCTTGTGTCCTTAATTATAAGTAGTCTTTGAAATGATTGTTTCTAACATGAAAAGCCAGTATCTGCTAAATGGTATAGTAGAACACTGTCTTTTTCTATTTTTTTTTTTTTTTTCAAGTAGGTAGAGAGATTTGCTTGCACTGGAATTCTTAATTATGAGCTGATGTCAGGGTTATAATCTTTAGTTTGAAAGCTGTTGAACTGGAACAAATAAATTGTAACAAAACAGCATATCTTGTACTCAGTCATTACGTATTGGGCTTCAAGTAGGAAACACTAACTAATGCCTGAGATGGTTCATTTGAGAATGGTTTCTATTTAATAAGCCCCACAACCTGCCATTTATTGGTTTTGAAGAAATGTAGAAAGTTGAGAAATAGGAGCTAATGACCAAAACTGAGATCTTGAAATGGTTCATATGCAGAAAAAAAGGATATGTCCTCTCCTCCTGTGTTAAAATAAAATCTTGAGTTACTGTCAGCATTAGTCCTTGCAGTATTTATCTTAATGTATGAAAATATTTTGGTTAAAATAAAAAAATAGAAATGAAAATCCTGAGGAGTGTGGAAGGAAAGCATACTCCTGAAAAAATTAACTGGAAGAAGGTAGGGAAATTCAAAGTATAATCCATCTTTGAAAGAGAAAAAACTTTTGCACACTTAAGGTCTGCATAGCTGTACATGTAATATTACTTAATTGTACATAAAGATTGTTTTATATACAAATGCCTGCATAAGTGCATGAACATTAGAGAATGTTCTTATAAATACATATTATGCTTCTTTACATTGAAGTTTTTATTTTCTTTATAGTCTGAAATGTAACCTAATGTAAGAAGTTGACACTACAGCTGTTAACACTTAAAAGTTTTGTGGTTTTACTGTCTGAAATGTCATCTAAATTCTCAGTTGGAATAGGACGTACGAAGTATCTTCCTGTTTTTAAGACAAACAGGAAAGACGTTCTTCACTTGCAGTTTGGTTGCCCTCATTATTGGAAATGCGACATTATCTTTGGAAGTAAGACAAAAATACATACTCTCAGAAGCTTCCTTTTCATTATTTCATCATTTCTGAAATTTTGTCAAATGACTTACGAAAATTAACCCTTTGCACAACTTTTCATGAATGTAGGGTTTTTTTTTAATGTGTAATGTTGTTTAAAGCTGCTGCCTAATCTTAATTTTTAAGGAAAAATAAACTTGGGTCAGACTTGTTTTAGCTTTGTAAAGTCCAAGTTCAGCTCCTTAAATCTTGGACTGGAAATGCAAACATAGAATAATTTACAAAACTGTGAACTCCATGGCGCTGAATCTTCAGAATAAAATAACGCTTGAATGATTTCACTAGATGACAGAGCTGCAGAAACTGATGTGCCTTTCCCTTGCTAGGGGGAAGAGACTTTCAAATCTTTCTGGAAGTGTAATTTTTTTATGATAAACCAAGGCAACTTGCAAGAAATTCTCATGCGGTTGTAAAAGAAACATTTTCACTTTCCAAAATAATAGAAAGACAAGATAGGTATGCTTAATGCCGTAGAGTTAGCTCACAAGGGAGTCATGGTTGGTGGCAAATGGTAATTCCACTGTTTGATTTGTCAAGTTCTGTGAGTTACATTTGTTTTTAAGAGTGCCTTCTAAAATAAAACCACTGTTAATATTTGCTGTGGCACTTCCTACGATTTTGGGGAAGAAGGTGGTTTGGGGAAGCATGTGTGTTTTCAAAACGACTAAGTATTCATTGTCTGAAATCAAAATATTCTGTGGCAAGAAAAGTATTTGACATATGAGTTTGTGTACCTGAAGTTCATAGATGGTTAATCTGCTATAGGAAGAAGACTCCTTTCCCGCCTGCCTCCCTTTTTAAACAGCTTCTCTAGCTTCTGTGTAAATACTTTAAATCTACTCTGGGTGTTTCATATTTTCTTGTTTCTTCCTTTTCAGGGGTGCTCAAAGTCATGTGACTCTTACGAGCAATTTCTATTAATTTCAAAATGTGTAGTCCATTATAGACAGTATGTGATGTCTGTGTTTTCATGTAGGCTTGTCTCAGACTAATGGATTTTATACTTCAAAAATACATCTATACAGAGGCAACCATCAGCTAAATAATGCCTTTGTGAGTGCTGCTTTACAGTGAAATGTGGATCAGGCAATACAGTTCAGTTGCTTCATCTGTTGCTAAGTAACTCCATTATCAGGCTGCTGAGCAAAAACAGAGAAGGAAGAATCCATGTTCTGTGTTTAATATCTGAGGCATTTCACAGAAAAATAGACACTTTCCTTCTTTGAAATTCTGATCATGTTGTGGTAATAAGTGTAAGCTGCAAACAGTAAGTAGGTGCAAAGTGATCTATGAGGAAAAAGTGAACATTGTAAGGCTAACTTGACAACCCAAGGTGGTTGTTTTTTGTGTAACTGTTTGATTCATATCTCTTCATAGTGTGGCGTTTTTTTGTTTTTGTTGTTTTTTTTTCTTCCCTCTGTCCTTTGAATGGAAAAATAATTATATGCGAAGCGTCTTTTCTGAAGAATCTGTCTGATTCGAAAACCTAGCAGGGGAAAAAACCCTAAAATATTGCAGGACTTGCTAAGTGTGCCAGTGCATTGAGTTGTCTTTCCTTATCTGTTCCTAAGCAGTCTGGTATAATCAGTCAGTCTCACAGAAATTCAGTGTAAGTGGAAGAACAGATTATAACTCAGTCCAGAAAAAAACTGGGAAATTTCCTAGCTTCTTGGCTGCGTTTGACTTGTTATTTTATGGTTATGCCTGGAATTAAATGGTGTGAGTATAAGTTTCATGTTTGCCTTGTGAATAATTTTAGTATGAATGAAGCTGTTGGAAGATGGATTGATTAATTTAATTAACTTTCTGCCAAGTGCTTTTTTTTATTGTTAAACTCCAGATAGATAGTATGTAGCTTCAGCTGCAAAATAAGAGAACTGCTTCACACTGACATGCAGTACTCTGAGTACTTTTTATTGCAGCCCTTCCTAGAAGAATGAAGCCCTAAAAGGTTTTAAAGGTTCTGTGACTCTCTTTGTAGAGAGATGCAGAGCACGTCTGTCGATTACTAAGTGCACCCTAAGGGAAGGATTGCTCCCAGGAACTATTTTGTACAAGCAGTTTTTAAACTTTCCACTTTGTTGTTATGAATAGAGTAGACCTAAATTTTAGAACTCTTTTTAGAGTTGGGAAAACCAACTTAACTATGTTGATTTTACACACTAATTTGTTTTTAATTGCCTTTCCTTAACTGAGTGACTTAATGGCTAAATTATAGCACAGCGGTTGCTGAAACTTAGCAGGTGGCAGGTACAGATTTGTACCTCCCTGTTCCACCCAGGGTCGGTGTTCTTTCCTGATGGACGAGGAGGAGGAGCTTCTAAAGTTGAAGGGCAGTGGACTTTTAGATACTGCAATGGGATGGCAACATTCCTAATTATACTTTCTTCCCATATTTTCTCTTTTTCAAGGTTGTGTAGGGGTAGATGTGAAATAATACTGCAGCTAAGTTACTACAGTTAGAATGCTGGCAGCATTTTTCCCTTTCTAGTGAAATGATATTGTGAAGTTGGTGATTTAGACAAATCATTTGTCTGATGGTTTTCAGATGTGTTAAGATGATTATGATCTAATTTGATTACATTTCTAATATGACACTGTCCACTCACAATAAACATGGTTTGCTGTTTAGGACATTTAAAGATAACTTATTTTTGGCCCAAGTAGTAGTGTTTGTGTCCTGAGTTCAGCAGTAGCAGTCATTTTTTTTCCTTCTTAGTAGCTGGTGCAGTGCTGTGGTTTTGACTTTCAGCCTGGGAACAGTGCTGATAACACTGATTTTTTTTTTAGTCGTTGCTCAGTAATGTTTACTCTGACCAAGGACTTTCTGAGTCTCATGCTCTGCCAGGGAGGAGGGGAAGCTGGGAAGAGGCAGAGATAGGACACTAAGCAAAGGGGTATTCCACACCACAGCACGTCATGCTCAGATCCTACATTTTTCAATATACCATTACTCTTGTCTCGTGTGTGTGTGTGTGTGTGTGTGTGTGTGTATATATATACACACATATATATGTGTGTGTATAATTCTCTTCCCTTGTTACTCTCTCTTACCATTATTATCACTGGTGGTAGCAGTAGTGATTTGTGTTATACATTAGTTACTGGACTGTTCTTATCTCAACCTGTGGGAGTTACATTCTTTCGATTCTCTTCCCCATCCCTCTGGGAGCAGGGAAGGGGGTGGAGGGAAGGAAAGAAAGAGGGAGGAAAAGGGGGGGAATGAGTGAATGAGCTGTCTGGCTGGGTTTAAACCACGACAATAAATATATATATGTGTGTGTGTGTGTGTGTGTGTGTATATACACACATCCAAAACTCTTCCCAGCTCCTGGTCTTACTCCCACTAATGAGGATGCTTTCCTGCTCCCTCTTTTGTCTCTTAGGAGTTTTGCTGATGAAACAGAGAACAGGGAAGGTCTTCATCAACCTTCATTATTAGGT